AAATCTGAACATTCAGATTAAGACAGACTAGGAAGAAGGATTGGCCACCCACTTCTGAAATAGCAGGCCTCTGAAAACCCTATGCAATCTTTGATGAGGTTATTTAAATATTTTTAAAAAAATGTAATGATGTAGGAAGAGGTGAGTGGGGGTGGGGGAAGTAGTTTCTGAAAGCAGACACTTATGTTCCAAGGGAACACAGAGGGGTTGTTGCTATTCTGCTTCATTAATTAAAATATAAAGAGAGCTCTACATTATGCTGAGTGAACTAACTCAGTTCCACAAGAACAAATATTTATAAAACCACTATTGTAGAATGAGTATAAGGATCCAAGGTGGTGGGGAGGAAGCAGAGAGATGAGGATGTGCAGGGGGAAGAGGAATTAATTATGGGGTTGTACAACTTGGTGGGTGGGAGGGGTAAAGGCAATTGGAAGAATCTGTTCTGGGAAACAACGTATTACAATTTTGTAAATAAACTAGTATAATAAAAATATTGTCCAAAACAACTATGAGATATCACCTCACCCCAGTAATAGCAAAATTTAACAGAACAGCAAACATCAAATGCTGGCGAGGTTTGGAGAAACTGGAACTCTCATTCACTGTTGGTGGGAGAAAAAATGATGCAACCACTATGGAAAGCCGTATGGTGCTTTCTCAAAAAGTTGCAAATAGAAATATCATTTGATCCCAAAATTCCACTACTGGGAATATACCCGAAAGAAACCAGAACTGCCACCCAAGCAGATATATGTACACTCACGTTTATTGCAGCTTTGTTCACAATAGCAAAGAGTTGGAAACAACCTAAGTGCCCATCAACAAACGAATGGATAGAGAAGCTCTGGTATATTCACACAATACTATGCTGCATTGAAAAACAAGGAACTCATGAAATATTATACAAAATGGGTGGCCCTGGAGGACACTATGCTGAGTGAAATATCACAGTCACAAAAGGACAAATATTGCATAATGCCACATTTGTAAAATGGGACTGGCATCAGGGTTGAGGGATGACTGAGAAAGGGGATAAAGAATGTATACTGCATTGAAACAGATGAGGAAGATAACTGTTTAAAAAGGGATATGTGATTAGGTATTATTGTCATGCCAGGAGTCCAGAATGAAGGCTGCAGAGTGGAGTGGATTTGGGAAGGGAGAGGGATTGTATAACAATGAAAGAATTTTTCTCTTACTTTTCAAAGAGCAGAGCAAATTGGGGGAGGGGTGGGGAGGGAGAAAAGTGCAACAATGAATGACTAGAAACCCTAAAATCAAACAAACAAAAATTATGTTCAAATAAAAGAAAAAGAAAATAATTGATTATTTAAATTAAATTTTCTACTAAAAAAAGAGAGAGCGAGCTCTACCTCTGCATTGCTATAAGGTCATTTTCAAAATGTCAGCACTTTGAAGCTGACAGATCTGTGGATATTTTGGTTGGAGAAGGAAAAGAAATTTATATTTGATGAGCCTCTGCATCACAAAACACACAGTATTTTGCTATAACTGGCCTCACCTTGTTTCCTGGCGCAGCTCAAAAAGCAGCACTACTGTCACTACAATTTCTGCTTCATTTTTACAAAGGACACAGTAAACCATCCTTTTGGCTCCTACTTTTTCTCAACCCCAGCAAGTGACTTTGTTTGTGTAACTCTTAGAAAACAAAATAAAATCTGTTACTACCATTTAAAAGGAAATATAGGAACAAAGCAATTAAGAATTTACTCCCAATCTGCACTCCAGTGTCAGTGGTTAAGCCCTTCAGAGGGGCTCACTTTGACAGTGCACTGTATAGCTTTTAGCACAAGAATGTTTCCCATTTTCAAATATTCAGTTCAATACTATAGGTATAATTTCAATGTATAGGTATATATTTCAACCACTTTAGAAAGTTCTCTTGAACAGTACTCATCATTCATTCTGGTTTTTTTTATCACTCATTCTTAAAACATATTCACTTCTAGTCCTTAATTGCCTCAATATAAATGGCTCCCAAGTGTATTACTCATTTCAGTGATCCTTCTCCCAATTAGGTTTTATGACTGTTTTCCCTTTATTTCAAGCTCTTCCCTTTTTTTGGGGAGGGGGATTAATTTACATATCATCAAGCTCACCATTTTAAAGTATACTGTTCCATTGGTTATATTAAAAACTATATCCACAATTTGTATATTCATCACACTATCTAATCTCAGAACATTTTCATGACTCCAAAACCAAGTTCCATGACAGCACCTAACAAACCAACAAAAAGCCCCACCCAACCCCATCCTTTCTTCTCCCCTGCAACCAAGGCTGTATTTCTGTCTTTATAGACATTTCTGTAAATGTAATCATGTGTGTTTCTGTGTCTGATGTCTTTTACTTAGTATATAGTTTCCAAGAATCATCCACATTTTATCAACATCTTATTTCTTTTTATAACAGAGTAACATCCAACTCTACAGACCTATCACATTTTGTTTATCTGTTCATTAGCTAATGGACATTTGGGTTATGTCCACTTGTTGGCTATCTCCAATAATACTGTTAAAAATATTTATGCATAGGTTTTTATGTGTTCTCAATTCTCCTGGAAATACATCTAATGGTATTCACACAGAGCACGGTATGAGCAATTAATCTGGCCCCAAACCCTACAGTTTAGATTTTTGAGGAACTGACAAACTTTTTTCTAGAGTGTATGTACAATTTCGTATTCTCACTAGAAAGGTATGGGGAACCTAACGTCTCCACATCCTTGAGAACTCTTACTAGTTTCTTTTTGTTTTCAATTTCAACCATTCTAATGATAGTGAAATGATATCTCATTGTGGTTCTGATCTGCATTTCCCTAATAAGCATTGGCAGAGTCTGCTGCCAAGGATCTTTCCAAAGTCCTGAAAGAGCAATGAGGTCAGTTTTAAGACTAAGGTGCTGCTGAATCAAGCCATGGTTTTTCCAATCACCTGCTATGCATCTGAGAGCTGGACATTCTTATGAGTAAGGACGGCAGAAGATTAAATGATTTGTTGTTGTGGTGTTAGAGATGTTGTTGTGTACCATAGAGTCAGAACTAACTCATAGCTGACACTCCATCAAGTTTTCAGATGTAGTAAACTGCATGGGAGGAGAATGTCCATCTTTCTAACATAGAGAAGCTGGTGAATTCAAACTGTGTTCCTTCAGTTGGAGTACACCTCCTTACCACTAAGCCACCTTATAGAATTCTTGACGAGATTTATTGGATAGGGTATTTGTTTTCCTTAATATCTAGCACAAGGTCGATGTTTGAGAACAATAGTTCTTTTTTTTACTTTTGCCCACTTCTCCTTCTAAACAGCTCATAGACTGCCAAAAGAACAAATGGATATGTCATGGAGAAGGTACAAACACAGTGCTCCTTAGAGGCAAGGATGGTGAAGCTTTGTCTCACATACTTTGGGCACATTGTTGTCGTATATCATAGAGCCAGAACTGACCCACAGGTGACCCTACTGCAGGTTTTCAGAGGCAGTTAATAGCACGGAGAATGCCCATCTTTCTTGCGTGTAGGAGAGGTTACTCCTTGTAAACTGTAATCATGCTTGGAAAGGTGCAGGGTCAGCAAAAGAGAGGAAGACCTTCAACCAGATGGATATAGTGACTGCAACAATGGGACAGATTTATTATTCATCAAGTTGTTAAGAGTCCTAATCAACTCAATGGCACCTAAAATCAACAATGATGTCTGGAGGGAGGTCTGGTTGTATAGTCCATAGGGAGTTGTGCTGTTAATCCACATGTCATGTCTACCTGGCAGCTCAAATCTACTAACAGCTTCTTGGAAGATGGGCATTTTCCTCCCATGATTTATAACCTTAAAAACTTACTTAGAGGGTCAGCTATGCATCAGTTATGACTACAAAGCAATTACAGAGAAGGTGTGTGGGGTCTTTACATCTGC